GAATGCTGTGGTGTCCTGAGTGAGGGCAACCAGAGCACACAGAGAAAAAAATGCTTTGCTGTCCCTCAGCAAGGTAGGCAAGCAAGCGGGGAAACCTTAGAACTGTCTATCCAGCAACTTTAAAACTGATAAAATGGGAAATATTTCATTAATTCCCATAATCAAAGCAAAATGTGTATTTGCAAGACTCAATTTGTCTTGAGATTTTGATCTGAATGAGATGAAAAGGAACTACTTGCAGAAAGACCGTCTTTCTCTCTTTTATTGTACTGATACTATCTAGTTGTACCATACGTCCCTCTCTCACGGTCTGATCTGAAACACTTTATTTTTAATTTGACCCTTTCAGATGTTAATTTGCATTCACAACTTTTGTTTTGTTTTTTTAAAACTATCAACATTCCACTCATAAGCATACATTTAAACTCTTCCAAACCCATGGACTCCAAGGAGGCAGCACCAGTCCTTTGTCTTTTGTGAGTTTGCTGCATTAACAGAGTTCACATGGTCAAAGGGCAAAGCTTGCTCTGAACCTCACCGCTCCAGTCACTGAGAAACATGTTTTAGAAGACAGCATAAAAGTTTATATGGTTTTCTTTCATTTATTTTCTTTCTATTCATTTGGTTTGATTGAATTCCCCGTTACATAAATCTTCAAAAATATACAGTAAATCAAGCAGAAGGTGCAAGCATTTTTAAGCGTTATAAGTGATAACTTTTAATTCCAGATAATTTTAAATCCTACTGTTGAACAGTTCTGAATAAGTATAGTGAAATATGGATACAGCCCTCTCTTTAAAAACAAAATGTAAACACTTGCCATCTGACTGTGACATGTTGCTAAAGTACTCTGTACAGGTTATAATTGGATTTCTTTTCTTTTTAGCCCACCTAATTATGTGAATTTAAAAATCGCTCAAGTCCTGTATCCTTTCCAAAGTAAAAATGTACAGGCTTTAGTCAAATCAAAGGAAATTTGAGAAATCATTAGAATCATAGGGTTCAAAGAGATACCAGGAGGTCATCAAATTCAACCTCCTGCCCAAAGCAGGACCAATCCCAAATTAATCATCCCAACCAGGGCTTTTGTCAAGCCAGGACTTAAAAACCTCTACGGATGGAGATTCCACCACCTCCCCAGGTTAAAATGACATTTAACCAAATAAAACTATTGTATTCCCTTTTCTGAGTAACAAACCCATTTTCCTCCCGACTCCTAGATAACCTCCCTAGGTAACCCATTCCAGTGCTTCACCACCTTCCTAGGGAAATCGTTTTTCTTAATATCCAAGCTAGACCTCTCCCACTGCAACTTGAGACCGTTGTTCCTTGTTCTGCCATCTGTCACTACTGAAAACAGCCTCTCTCCATCCTCTTCAGAATCACTATTCTGTAGAGAAGATAAGCCCAAATCCTTCCCCTCCCCTCCTCCCACTCCTTCTTCTCCTCCCACTTCTTCCTCCCCACCCTTCCCAAACCCTCAGGGATGCAGAGGCCCCTGCACCCGCAGTGCTGGGGGACAGTTGGGCTGGTGAGACCCCCAAGCCTGAGCTCTGAGCTTCTCCTCTCCCTTCCTCCCTTTGCCTCCTCCTGCCAGCTCCCTCCTCCCAGGTTTCCCTCTCCCCTCTCTTACCCTCCCTCCTCCCTTCTTCCACCTGCTTTCCCCAGTCTCACCTTAGTTTCATTCCCTCTCCCCACTCCTGCTTTGTTCAATAAAGAGCCTTTGTGTCACATGTGTCTTTTATTGTACAGCAGGAAGTGAGGCTAGGGAGGGGTAAGTAGAAGGATATGAGGGAGGAATGAGGCACAAGCCCCCAGTGAGGCACACCAGGGAGACTGTTACTGCCTACACTAGTAGTCGGAAGTAGTAGTAGGAAGCCTAGTTCGAACTACCTAGTTCATGCCCCGTGTAGCCGCGCTGCACGGAGTTCGAACCAGCGGGGTTTTAAAAATGGCGGCTCCCCGCTTATGCAAATGAAGCCCGGGAAATTCAAATCCTGGGCTTCATTTGCAAGTGCGGTATGCCTACATTACCCTCCTAGTTCGAACTAGGAGGGTAGTGTAGACATACCCTGAGGTAGGCAAAGGAGAATAACTTGATAAATGGCTATACAGAGGGGTCATTTTAAACATGAGTCTCAGATAGCCTTACACAGCAGTTCCAGGAAGTAACTGCGTCCTGATGCCCTGCCTGAAGTGGTTCCAGGTGGCTTCAAATGCAATTCAGCATCCAATCAGTGTGGATGCTCTATTTCAAAATAGCTCAGTTCTATTTCAATGAGTATTTGCTATGCAGACACTCCATTTTGAAATAAGCTATTTCAGAATATTTCTTCCAGAATAGCTTTTTCTGAAATAAGTATGCAGTGTAGCTGTACCGTTATTGTAGTCCAAATCCTTGTGCTTCATTGGGGAATACTACCATGCTGCATATCCTTAGCAGATGTAACAGATGAAATTTATCACTGGTATAGCTTCCACTCTAGTCAATACAAGTTTATGGCTTTGAATGTCTCTTCCCCCTAAAATATGACAAATACTGTATCTATTATATGAAATGAGAACAAGGGTTACAGTGAAACTGTTTAAGAGTTACAAATGTTATTAGATAGAAAACTAACACAATGGAATTTATTTTTTTCTTTCAAGTACACTGGCATATCACACTTCAGAAAAGGGTTATCAGCACTGAATGGTATATACAACAGTTGTCAGGTGCTGCCAAGGAACAAAAAACCTAGCGAAATTGCACACACAGATGAAAAGAGAGGATTTTCAAGCATTTTTATCTTCTCTTCATCATCACTTTGACCATCTGACAACAGCACAAGTAGCACCTCAGTAGTACCATACAAGACATTATATGTCTGACATTGGACTTTTTACAAATGCTACTTGTTGTGAAGCAGTCACTTGAAGAGAAGTTCCCATTGAGTTCGTTATCCTTCCTGGATAATATCTATAAATCTGTAAAGCATGTTGTGGTTGTATGATCACAAAGGGGAGAGATGAGAAGAGAGAGAAATAGAAATTCAGTAGGAATGATCAACGTACATCTTGGGATTCTGGAAGAAGTAATTAGTCTCTAGTTCATATAATTGCATATTGCCTATAAGTCAAAAGTATATATGCTTTTACATTAAATTATCACGAATGAAGCTCTAAAAATTTGCTTCAGGGAAACATCAAGCTAGATGTACAACTAC